ATGGATAAAGAGATTAATTGATTATGGTTCAAATGGATAAAGAGATTAATTGATTATGGTTGGATTGCTCAGGAGCTAAACCAGCATAAAACATGAGTCGGTTTGGCTTCAGTGTTTAACTTTCATCACCAGTCTAAACAACTGAAGTGTCACATGAAATTTAGTGGTAGAAGGAAACAGTAAAAGTTTAAATCATTCATTTTGTTGTTTTATTTTGTAAATATGTACAACACTACAGCGGTAGAAACAGCTTGTCATCTAGTATTTCTTGCACATTTTCATATTAAAAAAGTTAAATCAAATAGCCAACCAAGAAGGATATTGAAATTTATAATTGCTGTTCTTATCTCACAGGGCGAATTTACAGATGAAGGAACGGAAACTCATTTTGAAATTGGTGCTCACTCAGCATTTATCCGTGCTTTGAGCAGCGGAAAAAGAAGGGATGGGATCATTCATGAGCTTTATGTAGATGATCAGCTGATTCCTGAGTCAAAAGAGTAAACACGATTACATTAACTCATTTGACAAATTATGAGTAACTAATTCTTAGTGGAAAAATAGGATTTGATTGACTTGGATTTAGTCATATATACAGGAACTTTGCAAAATTAGCCATGACTAAAAAGTAGGATTAGACTTTGGTCTACATAAAATATTGCATGTTATTTTCAATAAAACATGAGTAGTAAATATGGAGTATAATAAAGCAATGACAGTAAGATTGGTGATGTTAAGGATTCTAAGACGAAAATGATAATCTGGAAAGAACTACTGGATTTCTTTGATAGTAAGTCATGTTGCCAGGGTGATGGCTTGACAGAGAATCAGATGGGGCCAAATAGAGTGCTGAGTAGTTGTGATAGATACTATACTATGACTATGGGAGAGTTACATAAATTTAATAAATAGCAAGTCAGGTTCCCTTTCCTCTTTAGTGTTTTTGATAACCATCCCAAGTTATATACGAGTGTATTAACCAAAATAGGTTTACATTTATTTTTATTTGTGTTTATACCTAGATATTAACAGATTTATATTTTCAGTGTCTACTCATTAACACATTGGTAAATGTGCTTTGTAAATCTGCCTTTGAACTGGACAGGTATGAACAATCATGGAATACCTTGTGTTATTCTCTGACAGGACATGGCAGTTATCTTAATTTTGTTCATTTGTAATTAATATGTCATACTTCAAAATCTGGATAACAAATACATATACTAAAATTAATGTTATGAAAAGGACATTTTTTTACCTTTGTTTGAAAACTCAAATCCAGTATTGATCAATGACAGTGTAATATGTTTATCACTGTGGATGTAGCATTTTTGCATCTTACTGAAATGGTCATCTGTGACACAAGAGAGATCTGACAATAAAGTTCATGTTTTGGTGACATTGTTTTAGTAGGCTATTAGACAGTTATCAAAATATCATAAGAACATCACTTCTGCATTGGTATCCATCCAAACTTCTTCTTATGAATTGATTTTGACTTTAGTCACATTGGGCAGTTTTATGATGGTTTTTTTTGAAAAATGCAAAAAAACTTGATTTTTTATAAGTCCTTTATTTTAGTGTGAAAATAATTTACCTTTGACAAGCTCAATTTTAATATTGGAGCATATTCCATACTAATTTGAAATATAATCATATTCCTTTAAAGTGTAAGTATGGACACATAATATCTAGATCTTATGGTATATCACCAGTATATATGATTTGTCTTACAATGTTGTGCTGTATCTGATATAGCTGTGCTAAAGCAAAGATGCAGCGTAAGTTTGTAGTATGGTTATTTCAGCTATCTCCATTAGTTTACATTATCTGTTGTGAAAGTGCTGCAAGATTGTTGAAAATGTTTTAGCTTTAAAAATTTGCCTGATCTGGTTCTTAAATATTTGACCAGAATAAATTTGCAGCCTGAAATCAAATCCATAATCCTCACAGTAGGTTATCATGACAGCCAGTGCTCTAAACTTTGTGGTAAAATGCCACCTTAAAAAAAATTGTATGCTTTGTTAACTTTATGACACTTCATTTAGGTTGAATTTACTGTAAATTGCTCATATTTGTAACTGGCGTAGAATGTGAAGATTTTGTGCCACACATTGGAGAAAAAGTTGCTAACTTTCAGTGACATAAGATGCTGCTGATGACATGCTAGTTAACACATAATTTAATTTGCTGATGATGTCAGATTGTAATTCAGCTAAGCTACAACATTTAGTCTGCTTCCTTTACTATTATTCTTTGTGATATCAAGGTTCTCATGTGCCATTGACTGGGTTAATGGAAATAGGTAAAAATGACCAACAGATCAAAATGTCAGTATGGCAGCAATATATTTATCTACTGTCCATAAAAGCCTCCATTATTAGCAAAATTGTATCAACAATTTATGATCACTTATGTCACAGTGACACTGGTTTATGATGTGTAAAGGAATGTTCTTCTGACCAAGTCATCCATTATTTCTGTGGGATTTTTCTAAGCAAATAAAGCAAGTTAGAAATGTTTCCTGAAATACATTGAGTGTGTCAGACTCTTAGTTTGCACAAAATGTATACTAATCAAGTATACAATATGACTGAAGTAATTTCTGTACAGCGCAATAATGAATCGATTCAGTGGATTTTATTTGAAGTCTTCAGCAGGGTATTACTAAAGAGCATAATTATAATCCTAGCTAATTAATTAAGAGCCTAACAAGTTCATTTGGATGCTAGTTGTAGACTGTGATCCTAGGTAATTTGATAAGAGCCTAGCAAGTTGATTTGGATGCTAGCTGCAGACTGTGATCCTAACTTTTTCCTTAATATTCTAGCAAGTTGGATGTCAGCTAGCCAACTATGATACTAGCTAATTTATTATGTCCCTAGCAAGATGATTTAGATTCTAGCTAGCAGACTACAATCTTTGCTAATTTATTCTAATCCCGTCTGTTGTTAATTCTGGCTAGTTTATTAGGATTCAGGCTAGTTAGTCACTGCAAAATACAGAATTTTTCTTTAAAGATTAAAACTATTGATGTTTATTAATTCTGCACACTAACAAGTTATTTAATAGCTGTTAATCTCCATAAAATTGTTGTTGACATATGTTTCTTGATAAAAGCGTTTTATACACCTACCATAAAGCTGGGCATTTTGTATATTTATTTTCATTGTAGTGGGGATGGGGGTGGATAAAAAGATCTGTTTATCCAAGGCAAGTTAAGCTTTATGAGTAAACAAATCTTTATATCTCCCTCAAATAAGGTCAATGATTGTTGTGCTCACTCAACCAGAGAAGGGAAGTAATATTGCATGGGGGAGACATAATTCTGTGAGATGTTTTGTACTTCTACACATGACATTTACACCATTACTTTTAATTGGTATGCTATGTTGTCTATATGTTACTAGTTTTGTAACACCAGTTCTGCCTCTGTAACAGTTATTAACCTTTGTGGGTGATTTGCAATTAGGGCAAGGAAGAATCCTATTGATTTTGGGATCAAAAGGTCAAGGTCACTAACTAAAGGCAGGTCAAATGGTAAGTAATATTAGTGTAAGATTACTGGAACAGAATCATGTTGATTTTGGTGTCAAAAGGTCAAGGTCACTTGACTAAATGAAGGTTATATAGTTAGTAATATTAGTGTAAGATCATATTACTGGACCAGACCTTGTGGAGACTTGCACATGGGGTGAGGAAAAATCATGTTGATTTGGGGTTAAAAGGTCAAGGTCACTGACTAAAGGATGGTCATATTGTCAGTAAGATTACTTTACTGGACCAGACCTTGTGGAGACTTGTACATGGGATGAGGTAGAAGCCTATCAGTTTTGAATACAGCAAATGATATTGAAGATGTGTAACTTTCAGCTGAAATTTAGGACGGGATTAGAGGTTTTATTTTACAAGTTAAATCAGTGGGATAGAATCCATTAGCAATATGCTAAATACATCAGGGGATTGTAACTGGCTCTATCAGAAGGTTTTAATGGTGTGCATTAGGACATTATAAGATAGTTTGTATCAGGAGATTATAATGGTGGGTGTAAGTAGATTGTAGTAGTGCAGATCAGTAGATTGTAATGGAGTGCATCAGGAGATTGCAATGGAGTGCATCATGAAATTGTAATGGAGTGCATCAGGCAATTATAATGATGTGCATCAGAATATTGTAGTACAGTGCATCAGGAGATTGTAATGGAGTGCATCAAGTATTTGTAATGGAGTTCATCAGGAGATTGTAATGAAGTGCATCAGGAGATTGTAGTCGAGTGCATCAGGAGATTGTAGTCAAGTGCATCAGGAAATTGTAATGGAGTGCATCAGGAGAGTGTAATGGAGTGCATTAAGCGATTGTAATGGAGTGAAATAGGAAATTGTATTGGAGTGCATCAGGAAATTGTAATGGAGTGCAGCAGGATATTGCAATGGAGTGCAGCAGGAGATTGTAATCATTGCATTTTTATGGCTTGACAATAGTTCATAGATGAACAAAAGCATAGAACCATCCTAATGCTGAATTTTTAAACTTAGAATCCTCTTATTCTCTGGCTATCTTTGTCTCTCAATTTTGATTTTTTCCACACACACAAGAATGTCATTAATTATATGTTTTGTTTGAATAACAAAACCTATGTTAGAGTATGAATTGTTTTGTTCTATAATACTTAGTTTGCATTTTACTGTTTTATTGTTATAATTTAAAAATAATCTTTTAGTCACCTCCTATAGTGATCATTGTTTTTACATTTCTTTAACTTTATGTTAATTCATTTACTGCTGTTTTAGAAAGGAAATAAAGTCATAATTTTCTGTACAGTATCATTATTTTTATTTTCATTTTCATGATAATTATGAGGGATACTGTTTTTTATTTGAGAAATTCACTTTAATGAAATAATTATTAATTACATTTGTTGATTCTTTACAGTATGTATAATTAAGGATTCTATCTACCTGCTAATGTCCATCTAATAGTGCACTCTGTTGCAGCCAACTGCTCAAGTGGCCTAATGGTTAGAGTATCTGCCTTGGATGTAGGAGGTTGTGGGTTCATACCCCAGCTGAGTCATAACAAAGACTTATAAAAAATAGTACTAACAGTTGCCTTGCATAGGTGCTCAGCAATAAGAGGTTAGTGATAGTACTGATCAGCCTGTGACTATGTGGGACATCATGCTGCATGATGCCCCAGTGCTCAACATCATTATAAACTGCAAGACATCTTAGTGATATGACCAAAACATTTTTAAAGCTACATTAAAAATCCAAAACAAACACACACACACACACACATGCAGTCTGTTGCAACCATTATATTAAACTCCTTGGATAGACAATTATTTATAACATGACATGCATCATGTTCACTGACTAAAGTAAAGTAACCGCAGTAAATCTATCTTGAATATTCTCAAAGTCTGAAATACAAATTGTTACTTGCTAAATTATATAGTATCCATAAACTTGTATCAGAAGTTGCTTGATTAATATCATGTTCAGCATCTACTCATAAACTGGGTTAACATGAATCTTTGCACGTACCTCAGATTGTGAAAATTGCTGCATAAAAAGTCACACTGCGAATTCAATATGGGGTCAAATATGTAATGATCAAGCTGCAGTCTCTGGAACTTGTGTACCATGGAGAGCAAAGAAATTTCCATTTGTCAGATCATTTAGATCCATTGGCCATAGATGTCCATGGTTTAAGAAACTGTAGCTATAGATCCCCATGGTCTAACAAACATTGTGGTGCTGTAGATGCTCATGGCCTAACAAACTGTTGCCATAGATGCCCATGGTCTAACAGACAGTGTGTTGATATAGATGCTCATGGTCTAACAAACTGTGTTGCCATAGATACCATGGTCTAACAAAAAGTGTGTTGCCATTGATCTAACAAATTGTGTTGCTATAGATGTTCATGGTCTAACAGTGTGTTGCCATAGATGCCCATGGTCTAACAAACTGTTGCCATAGATGCCCTTGGTCTAATGAACAGTGTGTTGCTATAGATGCTCATGGTCTAACAAACTGTGTTGCCATAGATGCCCATGGTCAACAAAAAATGTGTTGCCATAGATGCCCATGGTCTAACAAACTGTGTTGTCATAGATGCCCTTGGTCTAACAAACTGTTGCCATAGATGCCCTTGGTCTAACAGACAGTGTGTTGCTATAGATGCTCATGGTGTAACAAACAGTGTGTTGCCATAGATGCCCATGGTCTAACAAAAAGTATATTGCCATAGATGCCCATGGTCTAACAAACTGTTGCTATAGATGCCCATGGTCTAACAAACAGTGTGTTGCTGATGTTGTTGCTGTGTTAAAACAGCTGCGTGGAAGACCATGGAGAAAATACCCTGGTGAAAATCACATCCCTGGATATAATTATTGTCAGCCTTGAACATAACTTGATATACAAATTAATTCTAACAATAACTGACTAAATCCTGGGGAAGCACATATTAATATTGTTGATACTGCATGACCTTGACCTCAAAAGCTACATCCATGTACATCAATATGATGATATCAATCATTTCCATGACACAAATGCAAATAATCTCAGAGAAAAACATTGCTAGATGGATCATTAATGGAGGATTAAAGGTTTGGTCTTGGTAGCCAAAGTCAACTCATAAGAGGTGATCTATATTGTTATGATAAACAAGCAAACATGAATAAAAAAGCATTGTTTCTGAGGAAAAATTATCTACCATAAAATATAGCCCTTACATTTGTTGGAAAGGTACAGCTGCTGTTGGAAAGTTAGCAAGCTCAGCAAAAAGTGAAAGATGACATTGCTTAAGCATTGTGGGAAATTAATGTGCCCATACCAACAAAGACATGGATGGTTTGAAGTGAGAAGACCAAATGAAGTTCAACAGGCTGATCTTTTATTTCTTCCACAAGGTTGCATCCAGGAACAAATATGCAAGTACTCATTAACTAGATATTGCCAGCAGATACATGGAAGCTCTTGATGTCTACATATGTACACAATTTCACTGCTGACATGGCAACAGCTCTCAAGTTGACCCAGGTAAAGAATTTTTTGGAGCAGTTACTGCATGTTTACAAAACATAAGGTGCTCATTTTTGTTGGACATGTTAACATACTTATTGATCTAGTAATTGTGGAATGATTTACACACACACAAAACAGTTAATTGGACATTAGTACACGCAAGAATTACTAATGAGGATGTGGTTACAGAGAAATCATCTTAGTGGGTAACATGACTTCCATCAGTCATACAAGCACAAAATAATGAAAACAGTTTGGTTAAAACCCATTGAGAGGATTTGACAGAAGGTTGTATTTGTTACTTATGAATTGATTTCATACACACTGGTATTAGACCCATGAAGAAATAATTTTGTTTGGTGACAGGTTGTGCAAGGGGAACCAATAAGCAGGAAACATTATGCTACAGACCCAGTATGGTCTGTCAATTTATTTACAATTTCAGACTGGATTATCTACAAGGATAACAAATAAGTTTCCATTTGATGACTGTGGATGAACACAGCTGCAAAGCCAAGTGAACTTTGTCGACCAAGCAGAGCATTTATATATGAAAAATTGCAAGTCATTCCAGCATATACAGAACTATTACTAGGGTTTGTTTTAATGCACTAAGTTAATTTATAATTGATTTATGAATGTACACTTAATGGGTAATTCTGCTGAGAACAGTGTCAAGCTGAAACAAACTGTCATTCAATGATAGCATGTCATGGTTATTTGATCAATTTCATTTGTTGTGTATGCAAATTTGCTTTTGCTCAAACATTCTACACTCATGTTTGAAATATTTTGCAACAACAACCTTATGAAATCCTTTTGCTTCTTTGATTTTCATACCATTATGTGGTCCAACCACAACCAAGTGTTTTTTATGACACAGACCCATGTATTCTTCTATTGGGTTGCCAGCACATTCGTCTTTGAACTTGCCAACAATCTTTTTATTTACGTTACTAAACAGTGGATACACACTGGTATCAAATTCACTTATTCAACTTGGTTTAGCCATGTCTGGATACACATCATTGGTTGTGATGTTCATCAAAAGTAAGTCATTGGCCATGTATGGCATGTTGATGTTAGGGTTACATATATGGATACACATCATTGGTTGTGGTGTTCATCAAAAGCAAGTCATTGGCCATATATCATGGCATATTGATGTTGCCACCATACTGTGGTTTGATCTTATCATAGTAAAACTTAAGTCCATCACAGTCATGCCAACATAGATGGGTTTTGCCACCTTCAGCTTGGCTCTATTGCTGTGAATGGCCATTATTTTGAGGTCAAATATTGTGCATGCCTGAAATGCTACAAGTATCTGATTCAGTTTGTCTATAATGGGCATGATCAAACTAGTATTTGCTGAGGTTCTCCATAGTTTTGACAATTATAGCATTTTTCATCAGTTTGAAGAAATCTTTTTCAAACTCTTTTGTTGCCTTTGTGTGCAGATATATAATGATTTGTATATATTTCACCAGCCAGTCTTATTTGTATTTATGGCACCATCCAGTCTTATTTGTATTTATGGCACCATCCAGTCTTATTTGTATTTATGGCACCATCCAGTCTTATTTGTATTTATGGCACCATCCAGTCTTATTTTATTTATGGCACCATCCAGTCTTATTTCTATTTATGGCACCATCCAGTCTGATTTGTATATATGGCACCATCCAGTCTGATTTGTATATCTGGCATCATCTAGTCATGTTGGCAAAATCCAAGCATTAATTGGAGTTGTTAACATACATGCTTAATCACAAATATAACTGCAAATTTAATATGTAGAATTTAGTTGTTTTATTTTTTGTACTGCAAAGATTTGTGACAAAAAGTTTCAGCAAACCTACATTTGGATTTACCAACTACTGATATGGAGTCACCTCCAACGATAGTGGAAATTTGTAATGGGTGTAGTGAAGTTGTTGTATGGCAGTAAACCAAATGTTCTGTTGTTGGCACCACTGTCTAGTGATTTGGAATTGATTATTACCATTTGCTGCATGGATTATCCATCTGGAACTGCACTGCATTTGTATGAGCCAAAACATCTTATATTTTCCATTGTGTTTGGAATTATGCTTATTAGTGCATATTGACACTGTTGCTATTATGTTTTATATTTAGTGGCTATGAATCCCATGAGGTTATAAAGCATTTTGGGAATTGATTTTTTGTTTGCATAAATTTGCAGCATGTGCAGTCTGCAGCTCCTTTTTTTACACCAGTGGTGTGGCAGTGGTCAGTGATATGGCAGTGGTCAGTGATGTGGTGATGTGGCAGTGGTTATGCATGTCTTCATAGGTCCCAAATGTACAATTACAGATCCAGCTATGAATGTCTGGAAAACCTATTAATGTCATCATTAGTCATAATCATGTACACAGGTGAGGCAAGTTGTTGCCATAACCATTTTTCTGTGAAATGTAGTGATTTTATAAATACTTGTACCATGTCTGGGGAAGCTAGCATCCTGGGTGAGGTACAATATTGGTGGCTCAGATTGCCTGTTGCATTGGACTACAGTATAACAAAAATACCATGGGATTTGTTCCACAACTTAGACTGTATTTAACAAAACCTCAGAAATGTACACTGGGATGTTCAGACATTGAAAGTCCATGTAAATTACATACAGGGCTTCAATTTTCATTTGCAACACAGTAAATTTAAAAATGTTTTGCCAGGCACTGGTATTATTATCCATACTAGATGACCCAGTCAGGTAATTCTGGATCACTGACTTCATTTTTCGCCAGCACAACATCATATAATGACTTTTTCATTTTTATTCTCATACGACTGTTCAAGTCTTAGTCATTTGGCATTCAAGATATATCTTAAGTCAATTAATTTATCAAGATGAACGCAATGTATTTGAAAAAGAATAATATTTTGGGCTTTTTTGACAGACCTGTATAATGTATTTACTAAAAAAGTCATTTAATATTTTCTTCAATAATAGAAACACTCATTGTTCTGGTAATACAATTTCAGAAATGGATATAATTATAATTTGTTTAA